AAAAAAAGCATAAAATGCAGAAGTTAGAGTGTTCTCTCGTAAACAAGTAACTAACTTGCTTGCAGCTGGAAAAGATGGATCGCTCATTGTTGATGTCGGCCTAGAGATAACATCGATGTCAATAGTGCCAAATACGAATACAATGAATGTGGATGTGATCATAACAAGGACATGGAATGTAAGAGAAGTGTAGTAGTTGCAAAAAGGTCTCTACTAGGCATGAATTGTGCTTTGAGGCAATCTATGTGCAAAATTTAAGGATCCATCACTATATTTTGCTCATCTGCAACCATGCCATCCATACCTCAATCTCAGTGAGTAATCCTTCAGTCCTTTTTACATGACATATTTGACTGTTTTCAGTTAGCCAACGGAACAATCTATGGATACCTGAGTTGTCATTTCCACTTTCGAACGGCGCTTATGAGCACGATACAACTATTCAGTTAAACAGGGATGGCACTATCGTGCATTCGACAAGGTTGGTACCCAAGGATGCTTGCTATTCGAATGGCTTTTGTAGCCATATAAGCATTGATTTTGCTGATACGCTAAAAATGATGAGTGGTGAAGCGGTATAGCCGCCTTACCATACCGCCCCTAACTTGTACGGGGAAAACGGAGGGCAGATTTTCTTTGTTGCGACGTACCCATCGAATACCGCAGGTAATAAGTCTATTCAAATCAAAGTGCTGAAGACAACGAATACATCAATGAACCGATCATGAGCTACGTACTCGGCCAGAATATGCTTGAATAATTCTGAAATGTCGTTTGTCGGTCGCGTTCATGGCATTAAAAGCATATATAATACTGATCGTAATTCTGCAAAAAAGCGCGACGGTTATTCGACTTAGGTGACATTGTGGTAGAGTAGCCGTACAGCTTCAGAGTGAACGAAATCACAATCCGGTGGCATCATTCGATTCATTCGACGAGGCGTATTTTGGTATATGTAGGCAGCTATGTGAACGATGGGGAGCCATACTTCACGCATGAATGTAATTTTCGCTCACGGTACATTAGTCAGCGTGATTGAGCACCCTGAGTATCTACTGTAAGCAAAAATTATCGGAAGATGTGCCCCATAGAGCTGAAGCGAATATTTCCATTGGGTTCAGATTTCGTCCACTCTGAGCGGTGTATGGCCACACTACTGATGTCACCTAATTCAGGTGATCGTCGAGCCTGTTTACAAAATTTATGAGAGGTATTGTATGAGCGTTGAGTTGAAGTTTGATCTCTTTTCGGACATTGCCTTCTATCCTTCGGAACATTTCTGACATAATATAAGCATCTCGATATTTGCTTTCGAACGTTCATCATGCTGGATGAAACCTGCAAAACTGCTTAGTACATCGGAAATAAATCATTGCTCACATTTTTGCCATAATCCTTCAGTGAAGTGTCATTCACAGCGGCCTCTACTAAGCATACAGTAGGCAATGTTTGCGATGCTATGAAGATATTAGATAGGGACATTCTGTTTCATGCCAAAACCAAGATTTTTTGAGCTTCGCAGGGTGATCGAAAAAAGTTTTGAATACAAACTGTCAAAAGAATACGTCATGCGATTTCGAATCGCGCGGTTGTCATTGAGCTCACTGTGGAACGGTACTCCTGTGGCCGTATTCATCAACGAACCCAGTGAG